GAAAGAAGCAGTGACAGAGTTTTCCATAAGCAGTAAATGTTAGCTGGTCCTTGGTACAGTTTTAGCCAAGCCAGATGGAGCTTTTGCAGGTGACATCTTGGCAGGGTTTAGCAGTTAATATTAGCTGGGCATTGCTTCCAGGAGGCAGCTGGGGCACAGCCACCCCATTTTGCTGGGGGAGAGGGTCGGCTGGATGGATGCAAAAGCAGTGTGCTGGCCAGCTTAGGTATCTCAACCCCCAGCTTTGCCTTAAAGACTATCTTAGACACAAAAACAGCTGTTGATAATCTTGCCTTATTTTTAGTTTCTAATATGCCATTTTCTTCACCTGCAGTACAACCTGTTTAGAAGAGAAACTCAGTTTAATTACCCAAAAGAGCCAGAAGCTGTCACTTTTGAGACCCCCTTTGGGAAGTTTGGCATTTTCACTTGCTTCGACATCCTTTTCTACGAGCCTGCCGTGGTCCTGGTGAGCGAGCTGCAGGTGGACACCGTGCTCTTCCCGACGGCTTGGATGAACGTCCTGCCGTTTCTGACTGCGATTGAGTTTCACTCTGCCTGGGCTATGGGCATGGGTGTTAATTTACTTTCAGCAAATACTCACGACATCAGTTTGGCAATGACAGGTGAGTTGCATTTGGGAAAAGGGAAATTGTCTTCAGACTACTGGATTCAGAAGCAGGCAGAAATGTTTTACAAATAGTGAAGTCTTGAAGTCTCTGGAAAATAGTGTTTCAGTCAGACTAAAAATCCTCTTGATGTTGTATTAAAGGTAGTAAACAGCTTCAGGTAAAAAAATGTTGAATGTTCTGGGACCAGTAAAATTAGAAATTCTATTACATTAAATTTTTATAATTTAAAAGTGAAATTTTATTTCAAAAGTAGCACAAAGTTTCACTTAAATTATCAGCCTCTTATTTAGATGCAGCATTTATTTTTTAAAATTCCATCAACACTTAAATGGAGAAAAAAATGTTTAAAACTGAACTTAATAACCTAAAACCAGAAGGAGGATTCCTCTTGTATATTGAACAAAACATTTTCAGGTTTTTGTGGCTGCTGAAGAATTACAGATATTTATGTTTTGTTTTGATCTTAATAGATATTTACTGCCATTTTTTTTTTCTGTAAACTAAGAAAGTGTTGCTGTAGCTGCATCTGTAACTCTCCCCTGAAGCTGAAGTGAAAGCCACAAAGAAACGTCTTTGCCTGCCCTAAACAGACTGAGCTGACATTAGGCCACAGCCCTGGGTTTCCTTCCGTGAACCGTAATTACCCCCATGGTTTTCTGCTTTGACTAATATGCCACTCTTAGAGCTCTGATTTATATTTAAATGAACCTAAGCTCTAAAAAAAAAAAAAAAGGATGGTTGTGTGTCAAATTGCCATTGAAGTCTCAGATTCGAGATCCAGCGAAGCACAAAACCTTTGAAGTTGAGGTCATGTTTTTACACTAGGATGGGTATTTTAGCAGTTCTGCACTTTAAAATTCTTCCAAAGTTCTCTGCAACATGTTGACTGAAAACAGCCTCACCGAAAAAAGCTGCTGGTGTGGCATGGAGGGCAGCTGGCCCCCTTGCCAAGCAGCGCTCCAGGGTGCCAGCTGATGGAGGGCTGGTGGGTGTCCTTGGCAGGCAGCGGGCTGTTCACGCCGGAGGGACCCACCGCCTACCACTACGACAGTGGGACCGAGGAGGGACGTCTCCTGCTAGCAGAGCTGAGCGCACGGCCCCGTCTTTCCCCCACCTACCCCCCGGCTGTCAACTGGAGCTCATATGCCACAAGCATCAAGAGATTTCCAGGAGGAAAAGACACTTTTTTGGGAGCTGTCCGGCGAGATATATTCACTTTCAGTGAACTCAGGCACAAAACTGGAAATTACACGGTTTGCCAAGGAGACCTCTGCTGTCATTTGATCTATCGGATGTCAAACAAGAGCAAAGATGAAGTTTATGTCCTGGGTGCATTTGATGGGCTTCATGGTTCTCTCATAAAGTACCACTGGCAGGTAATTGGTTTTGTAGGGGTGAGTGTGGGTTGTATATGCCTACATACCAACCACCCCAAAACACTTGTCCATTACTGCATCATAAGAACTTTTCTTGCTATCAAATCCAGATCTTGACTGTTGAAAGCTTAATGGTATTTTGCCTTTCTGTATCCTTCTCCTCCCCGCAGATATGCACGCTGCTCAAGTGCAAGAGCACAGACCTGAACACGTGCGGGCAGCCGGTGGAGATGGCTCAGACCAAGTTTGAGATGTTCTCCCTCAGCGGCACATTTGGCACCAACTACGTCTTTCCAGAAGTCTTGTACAGTGGGGTGCAGCTGGCCCCCGGGGAGTTTGAGGTAATGGGACACCCTGGAGCTGTTTGACACAAGGTTTTCCAGACTGTGGTGCTGGAACCCAATACAGCAGCAAAGTCCCATCCAAGAACCACTTTCTTTGGTTCTGCAGACTGTAACTCAAGGGGACATTTAAACAGATGGATTGAATTAATCCTTACTGATAAGAACATATAAATGCTAACGCCAAGAATCTCTTCAGTGTTTTCTTTAGCAAACATGCCTTCCCACTTCAGGTCCCAGATCTATAAATAGCAGCTTTCAAGGAGCTATTTTCTACAGGTTTCTGCTGATGGGCATTTTAGGAGACAAAGAAATCAAATACTCTGAGAAATTGCCCAAGCAAGAAAAATTCCTAATTACTATCATGCATAAGAGCAGAGATACCATGCAGTTAAAAAAGTTAAAAGGAATTTTTGATGGTTTTGTAGGGTTTTTTTTTAATGTGAAACTTCATTGTATATTTTTGCCAAAACATATTTTCATTCATAAACCTTAATTTATGTTTATGTAAGAGGCTAGATGAAATCTTAATTGATTTGGAAGAGGTATTTAATAGCTTACAAGAGACAATGAAGACAGTGAAAAAGACTTGGAAAGTTTTAGGGGAAAAAAAGGTGATTTTTTTACAAGGCAGAGAATGGAAAAGCATTGCTCATCTGAATATTCATTCTGAATAGGACTTTTGTAAAAACATACACATCAAAGGATTTACTGGTATGCTAAAATATGATCATGGTCTAATTAAAAAAATAATTTATATTTTCTTAACAAATACATGCTTATTTGTTGTCACAGTGGCTCTTAAAAATTTGCAAGTGTTCACCGTCTATGAACAACAGTGATTTCAAATTGATCTGCAAAAAGTAACTAAGGAAAGCAACATATGGGCAGTAGCTTGAAATTCTCTACTTCCATCTGGAAACTGTTTTGGGGTCTACAAATCAAAAAATATTTCAAATTACTGTCCTAGATATGTATAAAACCTTCAGCGCCATGTATGAGTAACAAAGGAGAACCTAACAAATCAGTTAGTCTCACTCTCACCTTCTTATGAGGTGGAGAAGATTGTCTTTTTTCTTCCAAAGATGGAGCTGGAGGAAGTTTTAAAGACCTTCAGGTCCAAGGAAATGTGGGAAGGCTATGGCAGAGCCAGAGAGAATTCTGGTTTCTTTCATGCTCACGATTGTCTTTTGAAAGAAGTGCTGCATTAAATTATTCAACATCTAAGGCCTATCCTTTCTGTATGATGCAATATCGCTACTCTGTTAGTGGACTATTAGTGTCATTCTTTCTCTTTTCAACTAGGTGCTACGTGACGGACGTTTGAAAAGTAAGCATGGCACATCAAAACCGCTCATAACAGCAACACTTTTTGGAAGGCTTTATGAAAAGGACCTGCCGCATCCTCTGCGAACCTCCTTGTAATATAACTCTTTAGGTGTTACACGGTCACCATAAACAGGACGGGAATTTCCTACAGTGATCCACCTCCTCAGGAGCCGTGGCAGTTATCCTGTATTATTCCTGTTCTACAGTCTTGCACTTCTTTTTCAGCAGCAGTGGTGGTTGGGTTTATTTAGGAGAAAGTGATGTGATCATTCTGTTGTGTATACCTTTTTAATAGCACTTGAGCCAGTGCAATTAGTTTTTAGTATGAATGCTCTGTTACACAAAATCTTTAATTAGAATTTTTTTTTTCCTCAAAGATATCATGTAGATTGCCAGAATAACACTAGAAACATGACTGATACTGAAATGTGTGAAATGTGAAGTTTGCCAGTTTGCTGCAGAACAAATCTTCTCCGAGGAAGTCTTTCTGCCCCTTTTGCCCCTGTTTTTCAGACTGTATAAGCACTAAGTGTTCATGTTTCTTAGCCTTACACACCAATCAATAGGGCCTCCTTAATACTCAAAGGGCCTTGGCCCCATTCTGACCAAGGGACTGTGCAATGAAGAAAAAAACAGATTTGAAATGGTTTCAGGTGCAACCTTAGAGAGAGAGAAAGTGGTCCTCCATAACCCACGCAGGGACTGAGTCTGGCTGCGCTCCGTAAAGCACCTTCTATTCTGCATTCCCTCTGAGCTTGCACCGCTTTGTGCGTGGCAGATGCATGCTGGGTCCAATGCATTTCAGATCAGACTTGCCACATAAACATAGTATGCCAACACTTTCTCCTGTGTATCTGGAAAATTTCTTCAAAACTGTGAAAACACAGGCAATAGGCAACATTTTAGTACCTGAAACACATTTTACCATGCAGTGTGAGAAATGGGCGTTATTTGGGGCTTTTAGCCATGATATTTAAACTTGGCAGTCCTGGGCCTGATTTCTGTCTATCATGTTCTGCAGCAAATGGGCCTCATTTGCACCACATACACCTTGGAGTGGTCCCTGCCTCAACGCTTATCCCACAGTCTTTTGCTTCTACTGCCCTTCACATCACTGGCTTACAGCCTGCACCGTGCTTAGCGCTGAGCTGCACTAAATGTGGCACATATGAAACACTCTGGCTTCCCACCCCACGCACACCAACATGTGTTATCCAGAAGTTGTTGAAATCACATGATTTCTGGTTTTGCACGTGCTGCTGCCTCTCAGCACACAACTTGGAGGCTCCTTCCAGGACTTGTTTCATCCTGGAAATAGAACAGCTGAGCTCGTACTCAGGGGAGGGACTGTACCGCTTGGGAGCAGTTATCCAACACAGGCAGGGCCTCGAAGTCGTGCTTGCTGGTGCCTCGTCCAGCACCTCACCCTTTCCTCACCTGACTTGTGGTTGTAACCCAGGCTAGTCTTTCATTAAACAGGGGAGGTTTTGCTCAAGAGGGGTTATGACCGACGTGTGGCGGTACTAATGCCCTGTGACTGTTGGGTATGTAGCGCGCGTGGGGTCCGGAATTCCAAGAGGCAGATGGCCAGCACTGCAGGGTGGGAGCTGACCCCGCTCCCCGAGGCAGTCTGGAACACTCTAGGAGCCCCTCATCTCGTCCATAGCAGGCAACAGTTTGGGAAGGGCAAACGAGGCTGAGCATGCTGGTTATGAAGGTCTGCAGGGTCATCCTGTCGACCGCGGCGCTCCGTTGGTTTGCACTGGGGTCGGGCACATACGGTGGAAGGTGTCTCTGCAGCAGGGCAGCCAGGAGCTTTGCCCTGGGCCTGGTCCCCACGGCGGTGCTTCCCCATCCACCCCCAGTGCTGCTCACTCAGCCGTCTGCCCTGGGAGAGCTCAAGGAAGTGCTCTGAGAAAGGCAAGAGCTAGCCTGACTTGTAAACTCCGGTACTGGAAAAGATCCTGAAGCGGTTTTGTAACTCGAAAACTCAATTCTCCCTGTTGCTCTCGAACCTTGCTTTTTCCCTCTCTACCCTGGAGGAGGTACCTCCGATTCTGTTCCAGTCCTGGTGGCTCCCTGAGCGGGCTCAGGCCTTGGCTCCAGCAGAAAAGGGCTGGAAGAAGGAGGGAGCCGAGCCTGGGGGGAAGGCCGCTGCCTCCTGCCGCCCTCCGGCCTCGCAGGCGCTGCAACCTCGGGCCTCCTCCTCAGGCGCCTGCCGCTCGCCTCCATCTGCCCCTTGGCTGCCCTTCAGGGGAAATACGCTTTTATCACCTGGCCTAGAATTGCTCATGTGGAAAAGAAAAAAAAAAGGGGGAACTGCTGCTGGAGTGGCACGTGAGTGCAGTTTGACTTCTGTTTTTTGTTGTCGCAGTCAAATCACTTGACTAAAATCTTTTTTCACTGGTTGGCATCAATAGCTTTACATGCTAACCCACAAAAAAGAAAAATCTGGGGTAAGTTTAGAGAGAAATGCCTCACAGATGCATCAGTGGCACTCTTGAAACGAACAAATACTTTGCAGGTTGCTGGTACTTTAAATCCTAAGTATTTAATGTACTCCAAATGCATGTGGAATTCATAAAAATCTTTCTGAAACTGAAGAGGAATACAGTTGGGAGACCTGGATTGCACAGAATTGTAGACATTCAGTTTATTATTACTAGGTTTATCTTTCTCCTATCAGGTTAAACTTCCCCAAAATATCTGTAGCAGTGAGAGTTCATTAGTGTTAGTGAAATTGGGCCCCTGGGGAGATAAGTAAATTTTAAAGAAATATTTTTCTTTTATTCAAGGGTAGGTTTTATGCCATGTTCTGCTCCCTTGTCACTATTCAGGCTGTGATAATTGAACATAAAAATCTCTCACATATTGTTTGCTGGCATTTCTGAAGTATGGAGTACTTCCCAGATAGATGCAGAGCTGACTGTCTTAGCTTGTGAGAGCTGGAAATGGGTAGGATACAATTGATATTTCTAGTTAAGTGGCTTAGAGGATATCAGGAAAGGACTGTCAAACCTCATCCGTTAGGGATGCAGAAGTCCAGGATTCTTTGAAAATGACACTAAAACCAAGACTGAGGAATGGTTGACCTGTAGTTTTCAAGATTTGCTGCACAGATTTCCTCTCCCTGAGAGGGTAACAACGGTGCTACACAATGGACCACTGAGGATTTTATTAATCCCTTTCTCATTTCTGATGATAAAGCAAGAATTTAACCATGCAGAGGATGAAGTTACACGGACCGTTGCAGCAGTCTCAGAATAGCTCCATCATTTTAAGAACCATGAACCCTGCTTTGGGGTAAGGGTTCCCTGGAAGGAGTGCAAAAACCAACCAGATCTGAGGAACTTAGTGGTCACAGTGACTAGATGAAGTTCGATTTTAGGAAATGTGAGGTTTTGTAATATAAACCAGTTTCAAACGATGCAAATTACAGAAACATTCAGAATACAGGAGCAGAGAGATAATGAACGGCCAATGCAACAAATCACATTCATCTAGAACAGTTTCTGTTGAATTCACAGAAAGTTAGCTGGCTATGCACTTACTTTCTTACCTGCTAGGTGGGAGTTAGGAAAGAGAGAACATTAGCTCATCTCTAGGGGGGAAAAAAAAGCCTCTCCTACATTTTCCTTATGGGACAGAATTTGAGTTTCTGAAAGAACAGGAGTGTTTACTGACTCTGGGACAGGTATGCCAGAGGAGAAGAATCAAATTAACTCCACCTCAAAAGCTACTCCAGATGATATCCTAATGAGCCCCATCCTTTTCTGAGCTGGAAAAGCCTGCTCTTCACATGTCAATATTTCTTCCTTATACCTTGATGCTGGCCAAAGCAAACAAGACTCACCTGTCCATGGTGTTTCTGATCGCACAGAGAGAAAAACAAGTCCTTAATAGATTTTATTGATGCAAGGCTTCAGATGAAGGTAGAAAAATACTGTGTGACAGAATCTTAATAATATGGTTTTTTTTTAAAGTGAACAGGATGCTACAGCTGTGTCCTTGTATGCATACTTTAGTCATCATAACCTCGAGTTATCCATTAAATAACTTGCAACAGCAATCAGAGGTTGTGCAACTGTTAGACTTAGTAATACAATACTAAATTACTAAATGTTTATGAACAATGCATGTTATCATAGGTGAATTACTGGCAGTATGGGCCACTCTTCCTAGGTACAGAGAATCAGTGCAGATATAGTGAGTGATAGACAGAATGCCCATGACCTGAGTTTGAATTGAAGAATTCATACATTTCTAATTAATCAAGAACCAAATTATAACCCTGCCTCATCTAGACATGTTTGCAATGTCACCATCCACCATCAGGGCAGGAAAGCTGAAAAAGAGAAATAACTTGCACGGGTCAATAAAGACAGCAGCAATTACTATAAGGCTTACCACAGCTAATACAGTAGTGGTTCTCAGTGGCTCGTGATGCACTATGAGATGTCATGGAGCCCAACAGAGAAATAATTCCAGTATACCTTCTAAAAATTAACAAACAGCTCCTCCTACTGAAGACACGGATGAGCATAACAGCATTACCCAGTGTTGTCTACCTGTGGATCAGACACTGCTAGAAATTATCAGTCTTGGTGAAACAGACACTTAGCATATTGACAACAATATGTTAATTTCTCTTTCAGTTTAGAAAAGAATTAAAAATTAGCAGAAGCACTTGTAACCTCCATCTGTGAAAGTATTAAAATGTTTCCTGTAGCTATTCATTACTATAAAGTTGTAAGTGAAATACTCCATTGTCTGTTCAGATATTCTCATGGCAACAGTGAACGTCCCCTGCAAATATGTACAATATAAGAAATGCATTGTAACTACATGATTTTAACTTTGCCTATCCAACTTCATTTGCTGCTTCTAATGTTAAAGTTAATTTTGATGAACTCATAGTCTGGTAGCTGTGATGGTGTCAGGATGTAAGAGCAGCAAGGAGTGTAGGAAGCAGTGGTATCTTTTAGTGTTGGAAAAAATAGTCAATCTTTAGGAAAACCCTTTGCAGAAAAAAAGGAGAACAAGTATTTGCATACAGTCGGTTGCCCAGTTCATGTACTGCAAAACATAATAACGTA